CACGAGTCCGTTGAAGAGGGTGACAGATGAGCGAAGCGAACTCTTGTGTGTTAACCTGATTTGGGTCTTTGGGTTTATTTATAATGAAGAACAGGGAGCATGAAATAAGCCCCCAAAAGAGCCAAATGAAATAAAACACAGGGGAATGAGTGAACGGTTAGACACAAATGACATGAAAGGGAAAGGAAATAGCGTGAGGAATGCATCGGTTCACGCTGTTCATGTCTCATTTCTTGGGTGACAGCATGAGCGGAACCACAAGAGACCTAAATTTAAACTAAAGGTATTGAAATGTAATGGAAGCACGCTTTACTTCAAATTTTAGTTTTTTGGGCCTGTGCTTTGGTGGTGGTGGTGGTGGTGGTGGTGGTGGTGGTGGTGGTGTGTGTGTGTGTGTGGTGTAACTCAGTTAAATAAAACAAAACCCACGCTTTCACTTCATTCCATTGTGCTTTTGTTTTCGTGTCGTTTAACACAGGCACAGCACAGAAAACCCAGAATACTGCACCCCTACCTAAACCCTGAACCCTCAGCCTTACGCTCAAACCCTCCTAGATCCCTTTTGAAGGAACCCTTAAGACACCTGAAAGATCCCTTCATCTAAGATACCTTATAGCTGTGGGGTTCTTTTAGGGGTTTAGGGTTTAGGGGTTTAGGGGTTTAGGGGTTTAGGGGTTTAGGGTTTAGGGTTTAGGGTTTAGGGGCTTAGGGGTTAGGGTTTAGGGTGCCTTAAGATACCTTATATCCCTCAAGATACCCCTCATAGATCCCTTCAAACACCCTAAATCCCTTAAGATACCCCTATAGATCCCTGGTTGTATCTGGCGCACCCAATTCGGTTCGACTGTCGCATCTTCCGGAAGCTCAAACCAGACCTGCGAAGTGGAAAGCTGAAGCGTGTAGGAGTTCAGGGTTTAGGGGTTTAGGGTTCAGAGGCATTGGGTTTAGGGTTTAGGAGTTCAGGGTTTAGGGGTTCAGGGGCTTTGGGTTTAGGGTTTAGGGGTTTAGGGGTTTAGGGGCTTTGGGTTCAGGGTTTAGGGGTTCAGGGGCTTTGGGTTTAGGGTTTAGGGGTTCAGGGTTTAGGGGCTTAGGGTTTAGGGGCTTCGGGTTTCGGGTTTAGGGGTTTAGGGTTTAGGGGCTTCGGGTTTAGGATATGGGATACTAGGATGCCCAGTAAGCTAGGACTAAAGAGGGCTCCCGTTTTGGTGTCGGGCACCTTTACAAGGAACCTACGACTTCAGAAAGGGGAAAAAGGATCACTGTGAGACCTAGAGTAGCGGGACTTTCACGGTTAGGACAAGGTTCATTCAAAAGGATTTATATGGTTCCTTCAAGGGTTCCATAAAACCTCTGTAAGGGTTTAGGCTTTAGGAATCGCGGGGCTTGAATGGCTAGAATAGGGTCTGGGGTTCAGGGCTTAGAACCGGGTGTCTTCTATACTAGTCTGTGCTATATACCTTAGCCCACCAGAACCTACTTTTTGCAGGGTCCCTATAAATTCCATATTAGGGTTTATAATAAGAACCTGCAAAGTGAGCTTTGGTAGGTTAAGGTACTTATAATCACGTACGTACTGTACCCTGCAATTGGTGTTGGGGGCCCCCGTATCACAGCTGTCACTGGCAGATGGCCTCGCCCTTCTCGAAGTTGGCGAAGCAAACTTGCTGCGCCTTGCAAGGATCGACACCCTGCATCCAAAACCCCTGGAGAAATCCCAACAACAGGGACCCTTCCAGGAATCCTGAAAGGAACAAAATACCACAGAGTTTCCAAGAGAGCTGGTTACCGTCTAGGGTTTAGGGTAGATGCTTGCGATGTTCAGCGGATGTTTTTGTGGAGTTAGATGGTGCCGAATAGGGATTTACACGAGCTGCACAGGGTTCTTTTGGATTTTCATCAAGGCTTCGCGATGACTCTATCGGGACCTTCTAGGGTTTTAGATTTAAGGGCTTGGGAAAGTTGAGGGCGGCTCTTACGAGTCTGTGGGGGGTGGGGTTGCTAGGCGCTTCCGAAACTCTCATGTTCCCCACTGAGCTAGCGGGTAGTGCCGTTCTTCGATAACGTTTAGGGTCCGTTTTGCAAGTGTGATGTACTTTTGTGGCGGCCCCAAGACAGGACCCCAATTTCGAGAGTCTCCCCAAGCAATTATGGGCTGCACGGAACTGGATAAATCCGGGAGAGTCCAGTACTAACTATGCCCTAAACCCGAAACCCTAAACCCTACTAATTTTGCACTAAACCCGAAACCGTCAACGACCTTCGGCTCCTTCCATGGCCCGGTAGCACGGCCTTCAGCTTCTCTCAGGCTCGAGGGGTTTGGGGTTTGAGGGTTAGGGGTTCAGGGTTTTAGGGTTTAGGCTTGAGGGTTTAGGGTTCAGGCTTCTAGGGGTTTAGGGTTTTAGGGTTTTAGAGGTTGCGTAAAGGGATCTATATGAGATCTAAAAGGGGTTTAGGGGTTTGGGGTTTTAGGGTTTAGGCTTGAGGGTTTAGGGGTTTGGGGTTTAGGCTTGAGGGTTTGGGGGTTTAGGGTTTAGGGTTATAGGGTTTTAGAGGTTCCCTTAAAGGGATCTACAAGAGATCTAAGAGGGTTGAGGGTTTCGGGGTTTAGATTTCAATTTTCAGGGTTTAGGGTTTAAGGTTCGGGGTTAGGGGTTTCGGGCATTCAGGAGGAGGAGCAGCAAGTGGTAGCAGCAGCAGCAGCAGGAGGAG